AAAAAAACTAAATATATATATATATATATATATATAATATATAAATATACTGTATATACAGGTGAAACTCGAAAAATTTGAATATCATGCAAAAGTTAATTTATTTCAGTAATGCAACTTAAAAGATGAAACTAATATATGAGATAGACTCATTACATGCAAAGCAAGATAGTTCAAGCTGTGATTTGTCATAATTGTGATGATTATGGCTTTCAGTTCATGAAAACTCAAAATCCACTATCTCAAAAAATTTGAATATTGTGAAAAGGTGCAATATTCTAGGCTCAAAGTGTCCCACTCTAATCAGCTAATTAAGCCATAACATCTGCAAAGGGTTCCTGAGCCTTTAAATGGTCTCTCAGTCTGGTTCAGTAGGAATCACAATCATGGGAAAGACTGCTGACCTGACAGTTGTGCAGAAAATCATCATTGACACCCAAAAGGTAATTGCAAAAGAAGTTGGATGTTCCCAAAGTGCTGTATCAAAGCACATTAATAGAAAGTTATGTGGAAGAAAAAGGTGCACAAGCAGCAGGGATGACCACAGCCTGGAGAGGATTGTCAGGAAAAGTCCATTCAAAAGTGTTAGGGACTTTCACAAAGAGTGGACTGAGGCTGGAGTCAGTGCATCAAGAGCCACCACACACAGACGGATCCTGGACATGGGCTTCAAATATCGTATTCTTCTTGTCAAGCCACTCCTGAACAACAAACAATGTCAGAAGCGTCTTATCTGGGCTAAAGAAAAACAGACCTGGTCTGTTGCTCAGTGGTCCAAAGTCCTCTTTTCTGATGAGAGCAACTTTTGCATCTCATTTGGAAACCAAGGACCCAGAGTATAGAGGAAGAATGGAGAGGCACACACTGCAAGATGCTTGAAGTCCAGTGTGAAGTTTCCAGTCTGTGTTGATTTGGGGAGCCATGTCATCTGCTGGTGTTGGTCCACTGTGCTTCATTAAGTCCAGGGTCAACGCAGCCGTCTACCAGGAGATTTTGGAGCACTTCATGCTTCCTTCCGCAGACGAGCTTTATGGGGATGCTGACTTCATTTTCCAGCAGGACTTGGCACCTGCCCACACTGCCAAAAGCACCAAAACCTGGTTCAATGACCCTGGGATTACTGTGCTTGATTGGCCAGCAAACTCGCCTGACCTGAACCTCATAGAGAATCTATGGGGCATTGCCAAGAGAAAGATGAGAGACATGAGACCGAACAATGCAGAAGACCTGAAGGCCGCTATTGAAGCATCCTGGTCTTCTATAACACCTCAGCAGCAGTGCCACAGGCTGATAGCTTCCATGCCACGTCACAGTGAGGCAGTAATTGCTGCAAAAGGGGCCAAAACCAAGTACTGAGTACATATGCATGCTTATACTTTTCAGAGGTCTGATATTGTTCTATGTACAATCCTTGTTTTATTGATTGCATGTAATATTCTATATTTCTGAGATTGTGGATTTGGGGTTTTCATGAGCTGTAAGCCATAATCATCACAATTATGACAAATCATGGCTTGAACTATCTTGCTTTGCATGTAATGAGTCTATCTCATATATTAGTTTCACCTTTTAAGTTGCATTACTGAAATAAATGAACTTTTGCACGATATTCTAATTTCTCGAGTTTCACCTATATATATATATATATATATATATATATATATATATATAGCACTGAGTAAATTGATGAGGCTATATACAGGTAAGTACTCATAATAAATAAAATATATAGAAGCTGAATGATGCATGAGAGTTTTTTCACTTTCTCTGCTGTTGGAACCTGCTGCTAGGTGAAAAGTCTGAGTGCTGACAGACCACTAAACAGGTATCTGTTTCTTTTTGGGGTACCCATTATCGGGGACCCTGTTAGCTGGGAACTGACCTCAGTTCAGTTATTGACTTGGACAAAGATATGTTTTGTTTATTTTATGCTATGGGCTTGCTATGTAAAGCCCCCCTGCATTGAAACAGTTTGTTTGCTACCTTGCTGAATAAAAGCACGGGCCAAGTCTGCTAGGACTGTTTCTGGGTGTCCATGTTTCATGCATGGTTTATTCTGAAACCAGTTAAGCTTTATGTACATACATCTAATCCAGGTTTAAGATAAACAGACCATTTTTTCATTATGTGCCTTTCTACTTACTATTGAGACCTGCGGTTTTGATAAGAGCTTGATGCATTTTGTTTGCCAGGTTGTATAGTTGGCGGGCTCCTGGGGCAGGAAATAGCAGGAACAGTAGTTAAGAAAGTTCTGTATTTCATTTCAAACTGGAGATGGCACAGGAGTTAATGCAATCAGTGAACACTACAGCTTTCTGCCAGTTCAAAGAATGTACAATAATTGTTTTAGCCTCTGTTTCCTTTGCTTAAGATTATAAATATCATCCTTACAGTTTATGCTCTGCTTGCATGGTATTTCCTGTTTAATGACTTTGAAAATGGAATTAAAAAAAAAACCACTTCCAAAGAGATTTGACTTCAATTAAAGCCAATATGAAAACCGCAGTGCATGCATGTTCAGTAGAGGTATATACTTTAAAACAGTTAAAGGGAAATTTAACCAAATGATTTTTATGAGACAGTACAGCCTAACTCAACTGAGATTCCAGTATATTGTATTTAGTCTGAGAAACTTAACTACTCATTTTGAATAATGCAGTAACTATGAAGACCACCAGACGTATTATACTCTGCTTTTTACATGCCGCTGTCATAGCTTCATGTGTGCAGTGAGGTGTTGATTTAAACACTGTATCTACCTTTAAACTGTAATGTCACTTTTGTTCATAAAGAACACTAAAAGGGCAACTTTTTAAAATAACCTCCTGTGTACTGAGTGGAAGGCTCTGCCAGCTATAGTCACACGCTTTGATGCAGGCATGCCCAAAAAAAATATGTCTCTCAGCTTCCCCCCATTATCAGCAGCTCAGAGAGGTCACACCTGATACGATAAGGATAGGCAAGAAAATAATCTTCCAGGTGAGAGACCTTCCACTGTCAGAATTGGTGTTCAGGTAGTCTGCCAGGAACCCAATTGCACACAGCTTCAAATGAAGGTTCAGCTACTGTAAGGAGCCTGTCCCCAGTTGGGGTGACACCTTGTCCTCAGGCCTTGGATCCCTCCAGCTGTTCACCTGTGTTAAGAGGCCACACCTAATTATGCAGAGATAGCTGGGAAAATGGACTTCCAGGTGAGAGACGTTCCACTTTCAGGACTGGTGTGTGGCAGTCTTTTAGGACCCAATATTACACAGCTTCTCCTGAAGACCCAGCTACTGTGAGAAGCCTGTCTCCAGTTGGGGTGACCTTTTGTCCTCAGGCATTTGTCCCTCCAGCTGTTCACCTGTGTTAAGATGCCACACCTAATAACACAGGAATAGCTGGTATAATGGTCTTCCAGGTGAGAGATTTTTCACTGTCAAAACCAGTGTGTGGCCAGTCTTCCAAGAGCCCAATTGCACCCAGCTTCTCCCGAAGACCTAGCTACTGTGAGGTACCTGTCCCTGTTTTGGGTGGTCCTTTGTCCTCAGTCCTTGGATCCCTTCAGCTGTTTCCACTGTCAGAACTGGTCTGCAGGAAGTTTGGTAGGACTCAATTGCACCCAGCTTCTCCCGAAGACCTAGCTACTGTGAGGTGCCTGTCCCTGTTTTGGGTGACCCCTTGTCCTCAGGCCTTGGATACCTCCAGCTGTTCAACTGTGTCAAGAGAACACACCTGATAATGCAGGGATAGCTGGGAAAATCCAGGTGAAAGGTGAAAATGGGCTTCCACTGTCTGAACTGGTGTGTGGGCTGTCTGGCAGGAACACAACAGTACACAGCTTCTATTGAAATCTTACCTACTGTGAGGAACCTGTACCAAGTTGGGGTGACCCTTTGTCCTCAGGCCTTATATGCCTCCAGCTATTCACCTGTTTTAAGAGGCCACACCTAATAACCCAAGAATAGCTGTTAACATGGTCTTCCAGTTTAGTGACTTTCCACTGTCAGAAAAGATGTGTGGGCAGTCTGGCAGGAACCCAACTGCACACAGCTTCTCCTGAAGACCTAGCTACTGTGAGGTGCCTGTCTCCATTTTGGGTGGACCTTTGTCCTAGGATGCCTCCAGCTGTTCACCTATGTTAAGAGGCCACACATGATAATGCAAGGATATGCTTCTGCATCACTCATAATCTGTTTTGTACTACTCTGCAGTGTATGCATTCTCTTTGCCATCCTAAACCTTCTTTGTATTATTGCTTCTAATTTTTCTTTCCATTTAGTAAACTGCAAATTTCAGTTACTCCCTTTCTGATCATTTAGGTAATTATCTACAGCAGGGTTTCTCAACCACTGTTCTATGGAACCCAATGGTTCCTGTAGAGGTTGCTAAGGGTTCCTTGAGCAATGAGCAATTTGTCCCTCCCACTGACACTGTTGATCTTTTTAGTTATCTATAAGGGAATAATTCTTCCCAATGACCACAAGTGTAAGGAGCATTCTTCCTACTGACCATCACACTAATGTATCATGAGTTGTAGATATAGTCATATTTAGCAGGGGTTCCCTGATACCAGAAAGTTATTTCAAGGGTTCCTCTGTGTTAAGGTTGAGAAAGGCTGACCTACAATATTCTATTAAGCCGTAAAAGAGAAACACTACTGGGAAAATCTGTGCCAATCACTTGCAGTCACAGATATTTTTTTGTTGTTTTAACTTTTACACAGTCTTAGAAAATAATAGCTTTCTTCAAAGTCAAGTAAATAGATACCAAATATGTCAAAATGATGAAAAACTAATACCCAAAACTGTCCATAGTAGACACCATTACAGCTCATCCATTTAACTATGAACAATGGCCCAGCACTGTTATAAATTTGATTGCACTCATAGTGCTGATTTAACTTATAGTGTTCATTCCATCATTTTTATATACTTCCAGCTAATGACATGTGCAACGTTGTGGACCATGGATGTGAATTTAAATGCGTCAGCACTCCAGGATCATACCACTGCATTTGCCCAGAGGGCCAAGAACTTCAAGCAGATGGAAAAACTTGTAACAGTGAGTATCCAAAAAACTGGCAGCTATAGAAGAGACACATTAAAGTGAACATGCAATGGTTTTCAGTGCCAAAAATTATTGCTGGACCCTAAGGTAGATACCTCTAGATACCTGCACTACTTAATGAATAAGGAGAGGAGTCCTATTATATATTATACAACAACCTTCACTTGTCCCATTCTGGGCTTCACACTTCAATATTATGTCTTATAATTCATTAGGGCCTCAGGCTTCATGGTTAATGTGACCAGTCATGCCTCTGCCTCACACAGGTCATGGGTACACAGAGCTATTTCAGCCCCAGTAATTATTTATGGGGGTCTAATTGTTGCTTTTCATAGTAAGTAGCAATGGAGGGCAAGATAACCCATATTTACTATGGGCATTTGGTCTGGCTTATGCTCACCTTCAAAAACTACTGCACACTGCCAACTCAACCTTTGGGTTTCTATAGAAACAGGAGCACTGGAGATCTCCACTTCAACTCTGGGCTTGCACCCTGCAGCCCCATAGGCTTTAATTAATGCCACTCTCTCTTGTCAAGTTGACAGGAATCAATAAGAGCCAATGAGGGAGCAAGATACATGTGCCAGTGAAGATGAGGTCTCCACTGCATCAGAACATGATAATTTTTTATTCTAAGATAAGGCCAACTGGCAGCTTTTTTACTTCTCTAGCTTATTTTGTACTTGTCATTTAAAGTGGGGGGCAAGGCAAATCCTAACTAAGCTTAAATCTACTCTCTCCCATCATAAGCCTATGCTGTCTACCCTGTAAAAGGAAAACATTTTTATACTTACCTATTCTGTAGTCTGTCTGGTCCACTCACATGATCTTTCCAGCACTGGCTTCAATGTAGAGGAGAGATCTCCGACACCGACTGCAGAGACTGGGTGTTGACATCACCCATAGGCTTACTATAGGGAATCCATTATCCACTGTCCCTCCTCTTCACTGAAGCCACTGCTGGGACTCAATCACATGACTGGACCAGAGTGACTTCAGAAGTTGTCAGTGATGTCTCCTCTACACAAGTACAGGGCTTTTTTCCACTCAGAACAGATGCAGGAACTCCCCCCTTCTGAATCACCCCTGTCTCTGCCCCCTACCCACCTCCAAACACCACCCCTTGGTTCCTCATCCTATGCCCTTCTTAGTACTGCACCTTTTAGAGAATATAGAACAAATTATCATATTGTTGTGCTAAGTAATTTGGAGTTTGTTAATGATAATAAAGCAGTAAAATAGATCCCCTGTAGCCAGCAACAATAGAGCCCCCCCAGCAACAATAGAGCCCCAAGAACAACAGATCTCAGAACCCTCCAGCAGCCAGCAATAATACACCCCCTCCAGGGGCGGACTGACCATTTGGGAACTCGGGCACTGCCCGAGGGCCCAAGGTCAGTAGGGGGCCCCATGAGATGCCCCTGGTACCTTTTCATAGGCTTTTTTGGGTGTGGTTTGAGTGTGGGCGAGGACACAGGGGCCCCATGATCCCCTGTTGCCTGGGGGCCCCATGAGTTGTCAGTCCACCCCTGACCCCCTCTCTCAACAGTAGTAATTTCCCAGCAACAAATTGCTCCCCCAAAAACATAAGACTCCCCCCCCCAGCAACAATAGACCCCCCACTCCAGAGTAGACCCCCTCCAGCAACAATAGATCACCTAGCAGCAACCATCAATATACCCTCCAGCACAAACCAACACCCCTTGTTATTACATACATCCAGTGCTGGAGGTGACGGAACTGCGTTTCCCCATGTTCCCGCTGAAAAAAATCCTTCGGTATGTATAGGCATCTTTCCTTTTACAGGGTAAATAGAATAGGCTTAAAATGGGGTGGGAGGAAATTTAAGCTTAGTCAGGTTTTGACTTGCCTTCCACTTTAAAGTTACAAAATATCTGTGCTTTCCAATAAGCTCACCCATTTGACCTCCCAGCTCTTCTCATAAGGTGGCCAAATATAAAAGCAGACCTCAAGCACTGGCTGGCTGTTCAGATTGTCATTGTCTACCCCTGGTAAGGTCGCATTTACAACCTCAACAAGTGCACACATGGGCTTTCATCATATGGACTTCCTCTCTCCTTGTGCCAAGCAAGCCCAAGACTCTCATCTCAGTTCAACTATGCCTTTGGCAGATAATTAGAGATACATAATACAGATGTTTTCTGTAACAACTTAAAGAGGCACTCTGATCTTAAGTTAAATGTGCATGGACATGTCGAATGCAAGTAAAATGCAGATTGCCTTCAGATTGTTTTGAGGATAATATGTTTTGTATTTGAGCATTTTAAATTTGAGCTGCCTTGGAGAGGTTTTTGTTGCAATCACATTGACATGAAGGGGGGAAAAATTAAGACAGCCGACAAATACAAAAATAAAGTAAAGCCGAGCAAATAGATTGCCAGTACTCTGAAGATCCAAATTAAAATTCAAATCCCCTGATCTGCTGCCCAAATACACATGACAAAAATTAAGGGTATTGATATAAACTTATATTGCAATGGAATCTCTAAATAAACCAGCCATTTTAGCTTCAGAACTTGCAGTACTGTTAAACTGAAGGTCTAGCACTGGGCATTCTAGAAAATGTTGAGTCTGTGCCAGCTCTTATATTATATCACAACTGACACCAAAGATTACATACATCCGGTGATACTCCTGTTGTAACATGGGAGTTGAGTTTCCTTTTGTGGTAATTTTAATGCAAATAGTCCTTGTTAGAGCATATCTTTCCTACTGACTAGGAAGCTGACCTTCAATAAAGTTTTCCTTTTGTTTATATCATCATTAAACTATGCTATACATTCTATCTATTCCAGAATGCTCCACTGGTTACATTGATTTGGTGTTTGTAATCGATGGCTCAAAAAGCGTCCGACCTTGGAACTTTGAGTTGGTAAAGCAGTTTGTGATAAAGATTGTGGACTCCTTGGACGTGTCAGTCCATGGCACACATGTAGGACTGGTTCAGTATTCCAGTCGGGTGCGCACTGAATTTTCCTTAAATCAGTTTAAAACATCAAAGGATATTAGTAATGCAGTGAAGAACATTGCGTACATGGAGAAAGGCACCATGACTGGACTGGCATTGAAGCATATGGTGGAACACAGCTTCTCCCAACAGGAAGGAGCCAGACCCAACGTGCCGAAAATTGGTTTGGTGTTTACTGATGGCCAATCACAGGATGATATCTCAGAATGGGCTAAAAGAGCCAAGGATGCTGGTAAGAAAACCAATGATCATTCTGGATATCTACAGATAAAACTTGTAAAATAAATTTTGACAGATTCCTTACACTGATCATGTCAGATGGACAAAAAATGAGCCCCAAATATTGTACAGCAAGACTGCACACTGGTACAGTTTATGCAATGTGATTTAGACTACATTACATATACATTTCTTTTTAAATTATAAGATATGGCTTGTCAGAGTTAGTCAATAGCTATTATATATATATATATATATATATATATATATATATATATATATATATATATTAATTTTTTTTTTTGTCTCTGTCAAAGTGCATAAAGTAAATAAATATGTGCATAAATTAATTACTTAAATCATGAATGGCAATAAATTGATAAATATGTGAATGAGTGATTAGGTAAATAAATAAGTCCGAAAATACATAAAAGTTAATGACAGATGTGAAAAAATGATCACGATAAAGTGCTGGAAAGATCAAGGTGCTCTGTTGTGCCTAGAAATGGCCATAACTTTCCTGTGTATCCACTCTTCACCACTGTGGACTCCACCAAGAGTGATATTAAAGCCCCTTATCAGAAATTTAGACCTCTAAACAGAAGGTCTAACTGCACTTAACAGAGAGAACCCTCACTGAATAAATGGATGGGTCACCACTCAGCTTCAGTCAGGAATCAACCAGCCTACCAGATGGCTACAAATATCACCATTTAGCAATCCTCAGGATGCCAACTTGCACCAAAAGATGAATCAAAAAGCTCTCAACAAGGATAAATCCAGGTAAACACAAAGGGTTTGCTCATCATATAGCAGTAAAAAATACATTTATTCAAAACAAGACATCTACTCACATTTAGGAGAAATGTTAAGGCGTGTCATAAACAGCATCAAATGCCCCGGTGGATGTGATGACGTTGTCATTGGGGCATCAGAGGTCCGGTAGAATGTGCATGAAGACAACTTTTTAATCTACTAGCCAATATCTCAAGTTAGCCAATAAAGGGTATCACTCAGGGGCGGACTGACCATTCGAGCACTCGGGCACTGCCCGAAGGCCCGGGGTCAGTAGGGGGCCCCATGAAATGCCCCTGGTACCTTTTTTATAGGCTTTTTTGGGTGTGCTTTGAGTGTGGACAAGGACACAGGGGCCCCATGATCCCCTATTTCCCGGGGGCCCCGTGAGTTGTCAGTCCACCTCTGGTATCACTCAAACTCTTTCAGCATCATGATGAACACTCTACTACCGTCATACACACAGGCTGGGCTATGAATTCCTTGTTTGTTTCTATCAGACTTGTGCCTGACTCACAAAGATTTGTCAGAATTCACACTGAGCAAGGACTGGACTTTTGCTGACTGTTCTTCCCTTCTGCATGTTGTTCCCATTGCAGGTATCACTATGTATGCTGTAGGTGTTGGAAAAGCAGTTGAAGCGGAACTCAATGAAATTGCATCAGATCCCGTAAACAAACATTCCTTCTACACAGCAGATTTCACCACAATTGATCTCATTGCTGAAGATTTAAAACTGAACATTTGCCCAGGTATGAAGTGTCAGTGGTGCCTTCTTGTTTTCAGACTATTCAGATTCCTCCTAAAGAGAAACGTGCAGAGGTCATATGTGTGCAAGGAAGATCTCGGAAAATCGAAAAAGAATTCTCCTGCGCTCCAAGACTCAGACAGGTGGCACAAGATGGAACCAGGCCTGGGGAGAACGAACACCACTGCATAAAGGGCTGTGCAGCTCCAAACCAAGGCTGGGGAAGCCCAATCAGCACTGTAAAATGAAATAAAAAACAAGAAGCGCACCAGCCTTGCGCATTACCTCAGCGACCAAAGTTTATTTCTTGTAAAAAACATACTCACAAACAGCGAATAAAATCAGGCATGTAAGTCCTCTCAGGGACTTGAAGATAACATGAGTCCCATCAGGGGAATGGGTGTTCAGTACAGCTGACGCGTTTCGAAGGGAGTCCCTTCTTCCTCAGAGCTAACTGAACCATAAGTGCACCCTCCTATATATACACATATCTCTGGACTAAAACTAAGCCCTCCCTACCCGGGTTGGGCAGTCTCAGGATAGTAGGAGGGGCCAAAATCTCATAAACTAACCATCAATATTTACAATGCCATTAGAGAGAGATATAACATATAAATTGTAAAATGAATAAAATACATAAAAAACCTATATAAAATATATATCTAAAAAATATATATATATATTTTTTAGATATATATTTTATATAGGTTTTTTATGTATTTTATTCATTTTACAATTTATATGTTATATCTCTCTCTAATGGCATTGTAAATATTGATGGTTAGTTTGTGAGATTTTGGCCCCTCCTACTATCCTGAGACTGCCCAACCCGGGTAGGGAGGGCTTAGTTTTAGTCCAGAGATATGTGTATATATAGGAGGGTGCACTTATGGTTCAGTTAGCTCTGAGGAAGAAGGGACTCCATTCGAAACGCGTCAGCTGTACTGAACACCCATTCCCCTGATGGGACTCATGTTATCTTCAAGTCCCTGAGAGACTTACATGCCTGATTTTATTCGCTGTTTGTGAGTATGTTTTTTACAAGTAATAAACTTTGGTCGCTGAGGTAATGCGCAAGGCTGGTGCGCTTCTTGTTTTTTATTTCATTTTACAGTGCAAGGAAGATCTAGCAGGTGTCACCAGATAAGGATGACCAGATTTCCCACCTTCCATCTTTCTTGGTGATATTCTGTCTGTCTATGTGGAGCCTAATGAAAAAAGCTGAATCAATTCACTACTGGGTTGGATAATTTAAAAAATTATGGAAACATGGTCACTGACCATCCTTTGAAGCAAACTTGGCAGATGAATATATTAGCAACCACTGAATGGGTTTTGGCTACAGGGTGTCTAGAAGGTGTAGACCTTAACGTTTCTTGCCTAAATTTTACCCTGGCTCCTTTGTGGCTAACAGTCCATCACTAGAACCTTAGCAGCATGGTACACGACTGCTAAATATTAAATACATGTGGAAGAAAATACCTGGTGATCCTGCTGAAAATCTTGTAAGCTGATAATTTCCTGTGCTCTCTGCATTTTTATCAGTTATATTGAGGGGCAGGTTTTCTTAGTCCTGTCTTGTTTCTTTTGTCCTATTACAGTAGGGAGAATGAAAATTGTCACCATAGGACAGGAAATATGTTAATGATAAAATGACCAAGTGATCATATAGAAAAAACCTAAGTTGTAATGCATTACATTTTTTCTGGGTGTAGATATGCTTGAGGTTTTACGACCTGCAGCCAGGAAGGACTTAGACCAGCTGAAGCCTATACTGTGTAATGACTCATTAATAAGCTTCCCAAAACCTATACTGAGGTTTTAAAACATACACATTAAAGCAGCCCATAGATTATACATTTTTTTTCCTTCCACTACAGATGGAAGGAAAGAAAATTGCTCAATTTCCCCATCCACACAGTTAGTGTAGATGGGGAAATCTCTCCTGCAGTGCTATTGTGTTCTGCTGGTGAAGAGCCTTCCATGCTGGCAGAACACAATCACTGCCAGCGGCTGTAGCCACCAGCAGTGATTTCATGCAAAACATTTGACAGGCTGATTGTACTGGAGTCGATTGATGGATCAACTACAGTACAACTATCCTGCCCATAAATGGATTCAATCTTGGCCGGTCCTTGCTGAACTGGCTGAGATTCGATCCATCTATGGCTGGCCTTAGGAACTTGCAATTTAACTAAATTGTTGGCTTGCAGTGGAGGGTTTATGCGGATTATACAATTAAGCGTATGTGTAGTAATCCATAACAACCAATCAGAATCCAGCAGAGTGACTTCTGTTTTGTTTTGCTTAGAAATTTTCACAATTTTTATTAAATAATCATATGTAGTATTTGTACATTTTATTTTTTATATATGCATTGCATGCTTGTATAATTTGTTACATATCTTACTTGTAGTTTTAACATATATTTTGCAGAAGAGATAAAAGGAGAGACAGAGATAAAGAACCCATGTGAATGTGAGCACCTTGTCGCTTTCCAGACAAACACTTTAACAACGCTCGGAAATCTGGCAGAGAAACATATCCTTTTAGGATGCTAGTATGTTAATTCTCAGACAAGGAGCAAATTGTTCTTTGGTTCCAGTTCTGGGGGTAGGTGATTGCAAAAAGACAATTTTCTAAAATTCTGAGTATGATGAAAGAAAAAAAAAAAAAAACACAATAACTACTTTTGATTCTTCCATTAATTTGATAGCCAAATGTTTTACTTATTAGTAGATATTGTGAGGGATTAGCTCAGTAGTGGGTTGCACATGACTCCCTGGATGAGGCACAGCACAGTGAAAAAGGTACAGCAAGACAGAGAAACACAAGTGTGGTTATTTAAAAAAGCCGGTGTTCACAAATTGCAGGTATCAAACAGCAAAATAAAACAAAAACAGAGAATAAATCTTTACCACGTTGGGCATCTAACTACAAACACAGGAACCTGACTACTTGTCCTGAAACAGCCCGCTGTTGCCCAGACACTTGGGCTTTCAAACAGAATATGTCAGATTCCAAAGCAGGGGCGGACTGACAACTCATGGGGCCCCTGAGCAATAGGGGATCATGGGGCCCCTGTGTCCTTGCCCAAACTCAAAAAAGCCTATGAAAAAGGTACCAGGGGCATCTCATGGTGCCCCCTACTGACCTCGGGCCCTCGGGCAGTGCCCGAGTTTCCAAATGGTCAGTCTGCCCCTGGTCCAAAGTCACACAGACAATCTCACCATACAAGTAAATAGCTTCTCCCCAGCCTTTCCTGCACAGAGATCTGGTTCCAGCATGGAGCATCCTACCCAAGCAGCCTGGGAGGGGACAGACTAAAACATTTAATGTGAAAATGGCTTAATGTAGCTTAACGTCTAATAACGGCCTAAATCTCAATCAACTGACTTAAAACGCTGCACAGCCCAACATCCCAAACATGTCCTAGAAGTTTCATAGATTTTGGTATGCCACAAAGAAAATGGGGGACATTAAGCTTGTTTTTTGGGAGCTTAATATGGCTTAATGTACAAAAAAGAGCTTAGATGTTTACCAACTTCCCCCAAACTTCACACAATAGAAGACCCTATCTATGGTAACATATTCCGAAAATTTCAGATCATTTGGTAAAAATTGTATTTTATAATAAAATAAAGTTATTTACATTAAGCTTAATGTAGAAAGAGCTTAACGTACCATAATGTGCCTAAATCTCAATCAATTGACTTGAAACTTTACATAGCCCAAATTCTCAACTTCCCAAACATGTCCTAGAAGTTTCATGGGTTTTGATCTCCCACAAAGCTTGAATTCACTGAGCTCCTGAGAGCGACCCATTCTTTCACAAATGTTTGTAGAAGCAGTCTGCATGCCTAGGTGTTTGATTTTATACACCTGTGGCCATGGAGGTGATTGGAACACCTGAATCCAATGATTTGGAGGGCTGGCCCAATACTTTTGGCAATATAGTGTATCTTCCCTCCTGGATACAACCCCTAGTTTTTCCTGGCTTCTTATCAAAATATATAGCAGACAGCACCAACAGAACACGACAAAAGCTATCTTGGACCACTCCAAAGTATAATGGAAGGAAGGAGAACATCACCCCCTCCTTCCTTTAGATCTTAAGTATGTTAAAGCAGAGTTCCAGACGTTTTGTGTTTATTGAAAGTCAGCAGCTACAAAAACTGCAGCTACTGACTTTTAATAAACACACACTTACCTGTCCCAGAGTCCAGCGATGTGCTCACCCGCACCATCTCCTCTTCCTCTTCTCCGCCTGGTGCCGGGATCTCAACTGTGGGCAGCCAGGCGCCCACTGCGCATGTGCGAGCAACTCTGTGCATTCTGATTGATCTAGCAGTCTTCTGGGACCCGTGAAAGTTCAAGGAGGAAAGAGGGGGCCAAGCTTCTAACTCGCCCCGGTGAACTGAGCTGGAAGTGGGAGCGGGTACCTATCAAAACCAGGTATCTGCTCCCCCCTCCCCCCCAAAAGTGCCAAATATGGCAGTGGAGGGGGGAGGAACTTTGCTTTAATGATGGCTGCAGTTAAGGGTGGACTGGGATGCTGTAAGAAAGATAGGAGGGCCCACTGTGCGGTGCAGCATGGTGAATATTGGGTGTGACTACAAAACACTGCATACTGGGCATGGTTTAGAGGGCATGGTTAACCAATACACGCCAATAGCCATAAGGCGGTCGGCAAAATGTACTGCATTTCCCTGTTGGACGCCAAATGGCATCCTCCCGCACATGCGCACTTTTCGCGCTTGCAGAGCTGCGCAGCGGAGCGACCTGTCACCGGCCATGTACCTCGGACACGGCCGATGACAGATCTGAGTATCAGCCCTGTTGCGGGTACCATGTGACCTGCTGTGACTAATCACAGCAGGTCACATGACAGTTGTATAAAATGGATGGCTTCATTCATGCCATCCATTGTATACTACTGTCTAGCTGCGAATGGTCACAGCTAATCACATGCACATGTCATGTGATTAGCTGTGGCCAAATCACAGCTAAGCACAAAAAAAAAAAAAAAAAAACACCTGAATGAATCGATGGCATTCAGGTAAATGCTTGCTTATAGCAAAGTAATTCTTTGCTATAAGCAAATTGTGTAAAAAAAAAAATAAAAATACTGATCACTTCCCCAAAGTAGGTGAATGTTACTATGGTAACATTGTACTACTTTGGACATAGTGAAATACGAAAAAAAAAAATCTTCAATAAAAGAAAAAAATGTAATAAACAAATTAAAAATAATAAAAAAAATTAAAAAAAAAATTTTTTTTTTCATACTGTCACCAGTCAGTGTCCCTGTTCACCGCCATGCCAGTTATATGAAGACGCTGTACTGCACTGGTGACAGTATGTAAAAAAAAAAATAGTGAAAATCATTTTTTGCATTTTTTCATTTTCCAAAAAATTATGACAAAAAATACAACTTCAAAAAACTTGCCATGCCTCTTATGAAGTACGTCAGACTGTCTACTCTGCAAAAAGGGGTCATTTGGGGATATCTGTACTATTCTGACATTCTTGGACCTCAAGAAATTAGATTGGCTGTCAGTACTTCAGGATTGATCAATATTCAGATCTATACCATAGTTTGTGAACTCTATAACTTTCCTACAAACTAAAAAATACATCCTAATTTGGGTTATTTTCACCAAAGACATGTAGCAGAATACATCTTGGCCTAAATTTATGAAGAACAATTATTTATTTGCAAACTTTTATAACAGAAACAAAGAAAAACGTGTTTGTTTTCAAAATTTTCAGCCTTTTTTTGTTAATTTAGCAAAAAATAAAAGCCCCAGCGGTGATTAAATACCACCAAAAGAAAGCTCTAGTTGTGTAAAGAAAATGATAACATTTTAGTTTGGGTACAATGTTGTATGACCGCGCAATTGTCATTCAAAGTGTGAGAGCTCTGAAACCTGAAAACTGGCCTGGGCAGGAAGGTGTAAAATTGCCCGGTATTGAAATGGTTAAAAAGATTCTGGTGCTACTTACAGTACACACAACAAAGGGTATGGTGGTTACTATGCAGCATGGCTGAGACCATGAGTGAGACTTGGAAGGCAGAGCAGCTGCAGCATAGTTCCCCTTTATGCTGGGGCTTCTGACTACTAGGGCAGATTTATAATTGTTTCTCTCCCCATGCCCCTTTATCAACACTCACACAGCATAAACAACAAAATATAATTTACCAGTACTTGCATTATTAGAGAGAAATGAACACAATCACAAGTAGAACCATTTCCGCAGGAACAATTTAATGAATGTACTGACACAACCACAAAGTTTTCCACAAAGTACTAATCAGTACTGTACTGACACAAATAGAAGAGATAATCAGTATTGTACAGACACAACCAGCAACATATCTGCAGAGACACCATTAGTTCCATACTGACAAAATTACAAATATGTCCAAGGACAAAATCAATACCATACTGACACAACTGGAAACTCGTAGGTGTCCACAGGGTCACTTCTAAAGGAAGGCTGAACTGTAAAAGATCATCGTGTATATTAAAAACATTTCTGGTGGTCTCTTCAAAACTCACTCATTAGCGTATCTGCAGTCACTGCAGGTATTTCCCCACTACCAGGTATGTCAAAACACCCACTGCTCCTATCACATCTTGTGGTACCTACCACTGGCTCATATATTGTGGGCACTCAAGGACGAACCTCCAACACTGAAGTCCCATAGAAAGGCGCAGACCCAGATTGTCATGTGACAGTAATTTCACGTCTGAAATTGGGTCATTTGGTTTTGGTTTTTAAAAATCTACTTGGGTGGCAGTATCCTGTCCCTGTATTACAGCTGTGCTCCTATATAGTCACCCTATCACAAGTTCCCTTGGAGGAAACAGTTAGGGTATGTGCCAACACATAGTGAGCAGGTATTTTCTGCTGTTTCCACCAACTCTGAAAACATCCACGTTAAGAACAAATGATATGTCATATCCTATAGCAGAGGTCTCCAAACTTTCTAAACAAAGGGTCTGTTTACTGTCCTATAGCCTTTAGGGGGGCTGGACTGTGGCCAGTGGGAGCAGAAAATGGTATCAGTGGAAAGAATAGTGCCCCATCGATGGTGTCAGAAGAATAGTGATCCAAGTTTGATGTCAGTGGAAGACAGGTGCATCATTGTTGGTGTCAGTCAGAGGAATAGTGCCCCATTACTTGTGCCAGTGTGAGAAATAGTTCCTCATTTTTGGTGTCTTAGGAGGATATAGTGCCTCATCAGTGGAAAAAATAGTGTCCCGTGGGCTGGATACAGGCAAGCAAAGGGCTGCATCAGTTTGCAGACCACTGTCCAATAGTAACCATAAGGGTATCTAGAACACAAGTTAATAGAATGATGACATTATACAAAAGCTTTTCATAACCCAAATTGTGATACATTAAAAATGCTGTCACTTGATAAGGAGATTATTTCAGACCTGATTGTTGTAGGAATCTGGTGATACCACCATCCTTAGTACTAAATATCCTGGTGGAGCTGGGGCCACCAAAAGACTTTGCATATACAGCGGAGATTTGCAATAGCCTTCAAGCTTCCCACTTGAAAAAAAAAAAACTTTAAGTGGAACTTTACTCTCTCAATGAACATATTTGTTATTTGACTGCTTTTAATCCTTGTTTTGCTTGCATTAGTAAATAGATACAAAAATATATTACATATTTGCATTTTAAACTTTTTTTTATACATTTCTTCAGTTACTTCCTGATTTCCATGCCTAGGCAAATGATGCCATACATCCCAGTAGTCTTCAGGAGGGTTGGGAGGGTTCTCAGCTCAGCCAATGCCTGAGCTAAGAGTAGGTGGATTCCAGGAAGTAAATGCTACATGAATCATCTGCCCTTATTCAAGTTGGCCACCGCCAGAAATGCCAGGGGGTGTTTTTCAAAATGATTTCTCAGCAAAATAAAGCATGTAGACATGAACGGATGGGTGAGCTTGCGTTGAATATTAACAATGAATTAGCATTTTTGGTTTGTGGTGCTCAGATACAGTGCAGTTCCACTTTAGGTGTTTTTTTTAGACTATTTTCAGGGAGGTCTGAATGGTTGAAAAAGTTGTATATATAATGAGAGAGGGCTTTGTAGCAATGTAGTTCTTTGTTTTTATCAACAGTTTAGACTGCATTTAAATATCAAATGCAAGAGTAGAAGACAGTAAGAACCATAAGTGATTATTTACATACCACACAGAGCTTAAGCCTTAAGAGCCTTTGCCTTCTGCTTAGACTTCACAGATATATTTTTTTTAATGAGCATGGATGTTATCCACAGCCACCAGCCTGGAGAATCAGGGTACCCTTTTTTGGGTTTGGGTCATTGTTGGAAAACTTCTGGACATGGCTGGCTATACTGCTAGCTGTGTTACGTCCAAAAAGTCCCACCACCACTATGTGAGGAGACATACAGGGGTTTTATAATGAGTCACAGCACATTTAATGCTTACATCAGAGTATCATCGGCTCCTACCTATTCATAATTGAAAGACTCATGAATGTCAGTCATGAAACCTCACTCATGAAACATCACTCATGAACGTCACTCATGAATGTCACTCATGAAAAGACCTGAACCTCACATGAACCCTCTGCTTCACCTCCTTCGATAGTGAAGTCCAGTGATCCACCACCACAGTCCAGGCCCATCAGCTGCTTTTTTTGCCTCCACTTGCATCATGACTGTATGAAGCCACTGCTTACAACCAATGACAATTGACCACTTTACCAGGTAGTGATGTGGACACTGAAAGAAGGACCTTCTAATGCTCTAGTTCTTCAGAAAGTAAGCTCGGGACCCAGCTTGTCACTTGACAGCAAATTTTGGTAAGTAATTGGATCAGTTTGTTTTGTTTTTTGAAAAGCTAGTCAAGTGAGTAGCTAGAGGAGGTTGACTGGTCAAAATGTAGTGGGGGTTCATCGGGAGGTCAGCATAAATGACACAAGTACATCTTGTCACACTGCATTACATGTCTGTATTTATTTCCAATATGTATTCCTTAACATTTCTTACTAGCCCAGCTCACTGCAAGACTGGACATTTTGGAACACGAGCTGAAAGATAGAAAATGAAGCACTCCAACTAAAAATATAAAAATCTAAAAAAAAGGTTTATGTGGCTTTTTTATGTCACGTGGTACTATTTTGTTTTCCTTTTCAGGAGGCATCCAGCTACAAGCCGTGCAGAGCTGTAAAACTATTATATAAATAAATGTGAATAGATTGTTATTATTATTAAAATTATTTTACTGTTTCTTACTAAGAATTCAGAAATATGTTAATGGACTAGACTTTAGTAGATTAAACCATACTTTGTATTTAATGTTTTTTTTTTTCTTTTTAAAAAAAAAATGAAACAAAAAAGACACAATGATATTATTATGACAGCTCATTTTAAAAAGAGGGTCGGGATTTAAATACATTTATGCCAATAAGATGTTATAAATTTTGGCTTGGCAGCCTCTCTAAGGGCTCAAAATACATTTCTTGTGCCATGGTTTTGTAAAGAATTTACAGGGCTTCTTAGATTATTTTAAACCCAGTCAAAACACAAAACTGTAATAAATACATTGTGTGAATACCAACACATCTTGGTCTGCTTTTTGGTTCTGGTTGCACTGTTTTTCTGGGAAAATAAGTCGATCTGCACGTTCCAGCCTGTAAGGCTCTAAACTGCTTGCTGTAGAAATAGTTTGGGTTGGTGAACTGTGGGAAGAGCTATGTCCTTTGTGAATACAGCTTCACTAGGGTAAGTGAATTGTCTATTCCCAATTAACCTGAATGTGTTCAGTCCAAATGCATTGTGTGTGTTAAGCACCGTCAGCTTGGGTCCGAGTCTTATCGACTTAACCACTTGAAGGCCAGGCCTTTTCTGACACTTTCTGTTTACATGCAAAAATCTGTATTTTTTGCTAGATAATTACAACCTCCAAATGTATTTTTTAAGCAGAGGTCCTATAGAACAAAATGGTGGGTTTTGCAATTTTTTATGCCACACAGTACTTGTGTAGCGGTTTTTCAACCACAATTTTTTGGGAAAAGATACAGCTTAATGCATTTTAATGCACACAAACACAATATAATACCCTTTTTGGCAAAATATAATAGTTGCTGTTACACCAAGTAAATAGATACCTTAACATGTCACACTCTAAAATTGCGCACACTCATGGCATGGCGCCAAACTACGGCATTTAAGAATCTCCATAGGCAACACTTTAAAAACCTTTACAGGTTATCAGTTTAGAATTACAGAGGAGGATTGTTGCTAGAATTATTGCACTTATTTATTTCAGGTACTTATATAGCGCCATCAATTTACGCAGTGCTTTACACATATATATATTGTACATTCACATCAGTCCCTAACCCTCAAGGGGTGTACAATCTAAGGTCCCTAACTTACATTCATACACATATTAGGGCCAATTTAGACAGGGTCCAATTAACCTACCAGCATGTCTTTGGAGTGTCGGAGGAAACCAGAGTACCCGGAGAAAACCCACGCAGGCACAGGGAGAACATGCAAACTCCAGGCAGGTGGCACTGTGGTTGGGATTTGAACCAACGACCCTAGTACTGCCAGCTGGAAGTGCTAACCATTTAGCCACTGTGCTACCATTTAGCCACTTTCTCATGGTGATACCTCACATGTGTGGTGCATTCGCTATTTATGTATATGTGCAGGACTGACACATACATTCGCCTTTACGCACGAGTACATGGGAGGGGGCGCTTTAAAAAAAAATATTTTTTTTTTATTTTTACACTGCCTCTTTACATTTTTTATACTCAAAGATGAATTCCCCAACAATTTGGATTGGGACTTTAAGGGCATCCCAGAACAAACAATAGAAAAATAGTCAATAAATAATTTTATTCAAAACACGTGAAAGAACATCATGGTGTATCACATAACATTCGTATAAAAACCTACGTACAGCATCAAAAATTAATGGCTTGTATATATAACTTGCTTTAAGCTGAGACATAATGTTGCAGCTTCTCCTACAACTCAGAGGACAGTAAGGGGGAAGTAAGTTTCAGCAGAGAAACTGACGCATTTCAGAACATAAGTCTTTCTTCAGGGGTATGCTGAAGAAGAAGATGGCTGGCAAAAACATTCTACAAAATGTAGTGGATATAGATCAAAATCACAAAACATGACAATAAAAGATATACACAAAATTATATACAGCGTATAAATTATCTGATTTTCTTCTGGAATGATCCAGTTGTACAGAGAAGGGCAGAAAACACTTTGGTTCCAAAATGCGTGGTGCCCCGGTGCGTCCAAGAATAGATGACAATGGAGTCTCACACAAGAGCAGAAAGGGGGAGAGAACCATTAATCCCTGCCCGTGCCTTCCCGACCCACCTTTGCCTGCTGTTCCTCAGCCATATCCCTCCACCCCTCCCTCCCCCCTTGCACATTCCTCTGTCCTTGTAGCTTCCATGAACGGTGCTGGGCCGGCCATTGCCGAGGCAACCCAGCAGCGTCCAGCACGGCTTTTAAAAAGACTGGCACAGGAAGCAGCCCTCCTCTTTCTTCCTGTGCACGCTGCTGGAATCATCTATCTCCTTGAAAGCCACTGGGAGGCTCGGGTGGGGGGGGACCGAGCCTCCGCAGCCATCCCCGCTGCGCACTCTGTAGACCCCCAAAAGGTCAGGACTGTAGCCCTCTGCAATACCCCAGGGTTGGGAGTCTCCACAGCTCTGCATGAGCCCCCTCCTCAAAGTTCAGACCCCACAGCTGAGACCCTGCCAGACCCTGCAAGCCTGTAAGCCTGTCTACTGAGCACCCCGGCACCCTGTCTGCTGCTGAGTGCCCTGAGAGCTGCTGCTGAGGGACCCCGCACATTGTCCGTGGCTGCGTGTCCCTGGAAGCTGTCTGCTGCTGAGTGCCCTGGGAGCTTCTGCTGAGGGACTCTGCACACTGTCCGTGGCTGCGTGTTGCCTGGAAGCCGTCCACTGGTTGTCCCTGTCTGGAGTCGCCTGCCGTTGAGGGTCTGCAAGCCACTTACCGTGAGTGTCCTGAACTGTCCCTGTCGTGCGCACCGACCACCTGTGTCCTGAACTGTCCCTGTTGTGTGCACTGACCACCCGTGTCCTGAACTGTCCCTGTCGTGCGCAACGACTGCCTGTGACCTGAACTGTCCCTGTTGTGTGCACCAACCACCCGTGTCCTGAACTGTCCCTGTTGTGCGCACCAACCACCCGTGTCCTGAACTGTCCCTGTTGTGCTAGGCCAGACTCCACAGCTAGAGTCCCGTTGAGTCCCCGTGACCCCGATGTCCCTAGAAAGCTGGGTGGGAGCTGTGCTAGGCCAGACTCCACAGCTAGAGTCCCGTTGAGTCCACGTGAACCCGATGTGAACCCGATAGAAAAGCTGGGTGGGGGTCGTGCTAGGCCAGACTCTACAGCTAGAGTCCACAGCGTTTGAGTCCCCGTGAACCCGATGTCCCTAGAAAGCTGGGTGGGAGCTGCGCTGAGGCCAGACTCCATAGCTAAAGTCCCGTTGGGTTCCCGTGAGCCTGCTTACCGTGGGTGTCCCTACAAGCCGCATGTCGCGGAGTGCCATGAACTGTCCGGATTGAGTGTCTTTCAGAGTTCAATAAAGTTTTTGTGTGTTCCCCATCTTCTTTGCGTGTTCTGTCCTCTGCCTACGCTTCCATCACAATCCCCATAGCACTCCAACATAGACTGTGACAGAGAAGGTGAAGCTGTGACTAGTTCATGAAGTTGTCTTCAGATTTTGGTTCGCTTGGGCATCCTATACACCCCTTACCCTATCTGAGTTCTAATCCCTTCAAAATAAAAATGCAAAACCAATACTCAAGGCCTGATTTCTGTTTACGAATGAAAGCTTGTGTGGAAAATGCTAACTGACTAGCTGTGCAGGACTGTAGGGGGACCCAAATTCATCAGCAGGTCCACGTGCCTTTACTTTTCTCTTTTCACCTGCTGCAGTGGTGTGCCTTCCCTGCGTACTGATTTCAGTGTACAGAGACAGGCACTCTGCCTATCTCTGTACTCTAATTTACAGTTGGTACTAATTACCCTCAGTTTCATTATCCACAAACCGTAGGTAATTATTTTTGAATTTGCTGCACTAGTTAAACCAGCTTGTAACAGTGGCGCTATTTAGAACTAGCTGAATCTGCTACACATGTCACTAAAGCTAATAAGTAGCAACATTTTTTTTAATCTGGCACAGGACCTTTTAAAGAGAGCTACCACTCAAAAAACTGTCCTTAAAGGTTTACTGAATTCCCCGTGTAAGTAATTAAGTGCCGCAGCGCATATTTTTTTAAGAGAAAATGAATGAATGTGAATGCAATAGCTAGAACATACAATACAGCATACAGAGTGTGGCGCTCAGGTGTATGTAACATACAGCACAGCACACAAAGTATGGCAGTCAGGGGTGTGTAATATACAGCACAGCATACAGAGTACGGCGCACAGATGTATATAAGATACAGCACAGCATACAGAGTACGGCACTCAGGTGTATGTAGCATACAGCACAGCACACAGAGTATGGCAGTCAGGGTTGTATAACATACAGCGCAGCATACAGAGTACGGCACTTAGGTGTATATAACATATAGCACAGCACACAGAGTATGGCAGTCAGGGTTGTGTAACATACAGCGCAGCATACAGAGTATGGCACTCATGTATATATAACATATAGCACAGCACACAGAGCATGGAAGTCAGGGGTGTGTAACATACAGCGCAGCATACAGAGTACGGCACTCAGGTGTATGTAGCATACAGCACAGCACACAGAGTATGGCAGTCAGGGTTGTGTAACACACAGCGCAGCATACAGAGTACGGCACTCAGGTGTATATAACATATAGCACAGCACACAAAGTATGGCAGTCAGGGTTGTATAACATACAGTGCAGCATACAGAGTACGGCACTCAGGTGTATGTAGCATACAGCACAGCACACAGAGTATGGCAGTCAGGGTTGTATAACATACAGCGCAACATACAGAGTACGGCACTCATGTGTATATAACATATAGCACAGCACACAGAGTATGGAAGTCAGGGGTGTGTAACAAACAGCGCAGCATACAGAGTATGGCACTCAGGTGTATGTAGCATACAGCACAGCACACAGAGTATTGCAGTCAGGGGTGTGTAACATACAGCACAGTATAAAAAGTATTGTGATTAGGAATATGTAAGCTACACTATACAATGCATATTCCTGACTGAGGCACTTTGTATATTATGCTGTAAATGTTATACTCCTAACAGCTGATCTCTCTATGTAATGCAATACATTGCATACCCCTAAATGCCAGACTCCCATCATGCACAGTGCAGTGGTCAGCTAATTAACATACAGCACAATTTCTTCAAACACAAATCTCCCCCTCCAATCAAGCAACAATATCCCAAGGAAATATTCTCTGTTCCTACCCCCCAGCAAGAAACCCATCCAAGACAAACTCCCCAGAACACAATTCCCTACCTTCCCAAAACGCTCCCCCCCCCCGCCCACATCCCCTTTAAACCCCCTCACCAACAATCTCCCTCCCGCAAGGAAAACTTTCACTCCCAAAGCCAAGGAGGAGCTGAGGAGTGCTTTCTTCAGCTTTGGGTTGCAGCTCTGACGGGGGGATTAGCAGGATAAGAATCCACCTGTTTTTGTTATCTAATTTGGGTGGTCATGGTGTCACTACCTGGGACACAGAGCTGGAGATGCAGGGCTCTGGGTATCCAGCAATACTTACACCCCTGGTCCCCAACACACACAAAAATTCAGTTTAGTGTTCCTGTTTTTTTTCCCGTGAGCAGCTTGTTAGTGAAGCAGCATTGTGTGGATTACTGGCCCAACAACAGTGAGTTTTATAGCATTGCACCTAATATCCAGCATTGCACATATCACCCAAAAATGCAGATCACCTAAACATTGCACATATCAGCCAACATTGCACATATCACCCAACATTGCACATATCACCCAGCATTGCACATATCACCCAACATTTTACATATCACCCAGCATTGCACATATCACCCAACATTTTACATATCACCCAGCATTGCACATATCACCCTACATTTCACATATCACCCAACATTTCACATATCACCCAACATTGCACATATCACCCAACATTGCACATATCACCCAGCATTGCACATATCACCCAGCATTGCACATATCACCCAACATTGCACATATCACCCAACATTGCACATATCACCCAGCATTGCACATATCACCCAGCATTGTACATATCACCCAACATTGCAAATATCACCTATCATTGTACACATATCCCAGCATTGCACACATCACCCATCATTGTACATATCACCCAACATTGTACACATCACCCAACATTGTACACATCACCCAACATTGTACACATCACCCATCATTGTACACATCACCCATCATTGTACACATCACCCATCATTGTACACATCACCCATCATTGTACATATCGCCCATCATTGTACATATCACCCAACATTGTACACATCACCCAACATTGTACATATCACCCAACAGTGTACATATCACCCAGCATTTCACATATCACCCAGCATTGCACATATCCCCCAATGTTGCACATATCACCCAGCATTGCACATATCACCCATTACATATGTCACCTAGAATCGCATGTTACCCAGCATTGCACATATCACCCAACATTATACATATTACCCAGCATTGCACATATCACCCAGCATTGCACATATACCCCAACATTGTACACATCACCCAGCACTGCACATGTCACCTAGCATTGCACATGTCACCCAACATTACATAAGTCACCTAGAATCGCATGTTACCCAGAATTGCACATATCACTCAACATTGTGCATATCACCCAGCATTGTACATATCACCCAACATTGTACATATCACCCAACATTGTACATATCACTCAACATTGTACATATCACTCAACATTGTACATATCACCCAGCATTGCACATATCACCCAACATTGCAAATATCACCCAGCAATGCACATATCACCCAGCATTGCACATATCACCCAGCCAGGGGCGGACTGACCATTTGGAAACTCAGGCACTGCCCGAGGGCCCAGTGTCAGTAGGGGGCCCATGAGATGCCCCTGGTACCTTTTTCATAGGCTTTTGTGAGTTTGGGCAAGGACACAGAGGCCCCATGATCCCCTATTGCCCAGGGGCCCCATGAGTTGTCAGTCCACCCCTGCACCCAGCATTGCACATTTCACCAAACATTGTACACATGACCCAGCATTGCACATATCACCCAGCATTGCACATATACCCCAACATTGTACATATCACCCAGTACTGCACATGTCACCTACCATTGCACATATCACCCATTACATATGTCACCTAGAATGGCATGTTACCCAGCATTGCACATATCACTCAACATTGTACATATCACCCAGCATTGCACATATCACCCAACATTGTACACATTACCCAACATTGTACACACCACCCATTTTGCACATATCACCCAACATTGTACATAACCAGGGGCGGACTGACCATTTGGAAACTCAGGCACTGCCTGAGGGCCTGGGGTCAGTAGGGGGCCCATGAGATGCCCCTGGTACCTTTTTTATAGGCTTTTTTGAGTTTTGGCAAGGACACAGGGGCCCCATGATCCCCTATTGCCCGGGGGCCCCATTAGTTGTCAGTCCGCCCCTGTACATATATCACCCAACATTGCACATATCACCCATTGTACACATCACCCATCATTGCACATATACCCCAGCATTGTACACATCACCCAACATTGCACATATCACCCAACATTGCACATATCACAAAACATTGCACATATCACCCAACATTGCACATATCACCCAACATTGTACACATCACCCAACATTGCACATATCACCCAACATTGTACACATCACCCAACATTGCACATATCACCCAACATTGCAGATATCACCCAACATTGCACATATCACCCAACATTGTACATTTCACCCAGCATTGCACATATCACCCAACATTGTACACATCACCCAACATTGCACATATCACCCAACATTGTACATTTCACCCAGCATTGCACATATCACTCAACAGTGTACATATCACCCAACAGTGTACATATCTCCCAGCATGTACGTGTCAGCCAACATTGTACACATCACCCAACAGTGTACATATCACCCAACAGTGTACAT